GGGGGGGGGGGGGGGGGAGTGGCTCCACAAGGTCAAGCGCGGAAGCCCTGGGGGCGCACTTCTGGAACCCTGAAGCCGATCTCCAAAGGCTGTGGATGGAGGAGGCAGGAAGTAGGCGGTTGGCAGGGCCTAAACCTTCCTGGAAGACAGGCAGAAAGATCTCGATACATTGATACAAGCCTTTGGCTCCCGAACCATTCTAAAATGTCTGAGCAGAAGTATGGTCTAGAAGGAATTGCTCTCTGGAGATGACAGGTCTCGATGCCGCACCACCCAAAGTTCGTGCTAAAACGTGGACCGCATTATGTGCGTCAAGGCACACCCCGTTTTCTCCAAGGGCTCGTGAGAAGGAAGAGGAAATCACAACCCAATGCGCTCAGGGCAGGGACAGGATGCTGTGACAACACGGAGAGAAGGAGCATCTCATGGGGACTAAGAGTAGAGAGTGATCAGGGGAGGCTTTCCGGAGGAGGTGAGCTAAGTCTTGAAGACCAGTGGAAATTTGCCACACGTTCTCTTAAACGACGAGTACCATATATCAGCCAGTGTTCCGGGTGCTGGAAATACAGCAGGGAACAATAAACACAACGAAAGTGTTTTAAATATTAAATTAGACAATACACTAGATAGATGCTACATAAAAGAATAACACAAGGGATCAGAGTGTGTGTGTGTGTGTGTGTGTGCGTGCGTGCGTGCGTGCGTGTTGGGAGGGCGGAGACGGTTGGTGATAGAAATGTCAAAGGCTTGCACCAGGGCAGTTGTAGAAGACATGGAAAGGAGGGGTTAAATGCAAGGCATGTTTATGGTCGGTAAATGGTCGGATGTAGTAAATGGTCGGATGTAGAGTCTGAAAAGAGGCAGATATTCAGGATAGAGCCACAGATCTTTAGCACCTTAGCGAAGTGCTGGGGGCAGAGGTGCAAACAACTCCAATTCACCAAGAATATTTTTTCGCTCTTTCCCACCCAGTCTTTTTCAAGCAACTGTGACTACCCGAAGCCGCAGCTTAGAACTCCATTTCTCCGGGCAAAGCTTTGGCTCCTGTTAAAATCTAAAACACAGCAAATTCAACAGTAATCAGTTTACACCTCAGTTCTTGGATCCTAAAAGTGGGGTCCATGGGTGGGGCTTCAGGGAGTGGGTGAACTCTCTGATGTTGTATGCGTTTTTCTAGGGAAAAGGACCATGTTCTTTGAGGAATGTAGGGCTCGGCCTCTGCGTAGATTAGGTGCCTGAGACCAGGTGAGAGAGTGGTAACTAGAGACCTGGGGGAAAGCTGGCGCCCAAGGGGAGGAGAGAGAAATGACGAAAGGGTAAAGGGGAGGCAGATGCCAGAAGACCAGCCCCGAGCGCTTCATCCACTTGAAAAGGCCTGGGACGCTGACGGGACAGGATGGGCTGCTCTCTGCTCCCCTTCCCCGCCGCCTGGCCAGGGAGACTGGGAAAAGAAAAAAGCGAAGCGGTGAACTGAGGTCTCCTCACCAAAGTGCCTGTGGGCGGGGCATGAGGAAGGGCCCCACAAATCACAGGACTGGGCGATGGAGCAAAATGGTTCAGCCCAGAGATGCTCCGAGATCGCCGCTGGAAGAGCAGGGAAGGCAGAGCAGGTGGCGGGCAGCGGACTCCACCAGCTCCTGCGGGGACTCCAGGCAGCCCCCAGGTGAGAGCGTGGTGAGTGTAGTTAGAGCTTAGAGACCCTGAGAGGGGATAGCAGCCGGGGAGACCCTGCGAGGCCCCAAGGCCGGGTGTGCTGGCCTTAGACCACACTCCTGCCGGCGTTTGCCTCCGAGCACCTTTCTGGGGGTCTTAGACGGCAGGTAGAAGGGTCACCTTCCCGGCCATCCTAGGAGGTAAGCGGACAGCGGAGGGTAGACGGGAGGGTAGGGGGAGCCTGACTGTGCAGGCGGGAAATCCTGGAGGCAGGGCTGTTGGACGGCAGG